TCATATTAAAATGAAGCTAGTTTTTCACTTTTCTTTTTGAAATCTCTTCAATATACTTTTTACATCACCTCATTGAACCATATGATAGTAATATAATTTTAAGTATAAAAACCTGAGATTAAATGCTTGATTTTTGACAGTGTCCTTAAATATAATAAATTCAAAGGGAAATACTGTTAAGTTAAAATGGAGTGTTTTTCATTAAGTCCAATCAAATGGTAGACAACAAAGGATCTTTTATTTGAGAATATGAAGTGAAAATGAAAACCAGAAAACCTTTACTAAGAAAAGGTCTAGCTAAATTATGTTGGAAGGAGGTCTCCGGATTGAACCTGGGTGTTGCTTTTGCTAAAAGTGAATTATACTAAGATGCAGTATGGGAGAATATTTTACATAGATGCAGAACCTAGCACTCTGGATGTGATAATAAGGACTAGATACAGTGAAGTTAGAAATAAGTACAAAGAAAGATCACATGGCAGGGGGGGAACCTACTGTAGCATCTAATCTGTTCTTTTATAATCATGACAAGGAAATGTTAGGAAAAGTAATGCTCCTCTCTTTTGTGTTCTATTGCAGTGCTCTAAAATTCTAACTGGGGCATTTGTATTAGAATAGTCTTTCCTTTTTTAACCTGCGACATTTAATGCTAAAATATCCATCATTTTTTTTTTAAAGAGAATGGAGAAAGACAGATATACTTGTGTGTGTGCTTTAATGCAGTGCTTAAGCAATGTGATAACTCTTCAGTTGCATTCAATTTGTATTAAATAAACTCCATTGCATTAAAGTACTTTAGCAGTTGTGTGCTGTCCATACTACAATTTACATGTACATCCATAGGCATCAGAGAAAGGATGTGTTGCTCTTAGCTTTGGAGCATAAATCTCTTTTTCCCCCCCTGACTTTATTTATCAAGAAGAAAGGGAAAAGAAGGTAAGAGTTATACCTTTCCAGTGATTTATAAAGTTTTAGAGAGAGAAACCTAATATATATTGCATATCAGAAATCATAGGTTTAATCTGTTTACAGGAGAAAAAGAAAGAAGTTTGAGAGTATGAAGAAAAAATAACCTTATTTTTGAGCAGGTTACAGATGGGTCAGAAAACAGAAAAGCAAAAATGCAGAAGCATTATTTAATTCTTGATAATCTATCATCTGAATGTAATGATACATTTCCTATGGATAATCATAGATAGAGCAACTGAAAGTAAGTAGCTGGCTAAATACTAGGAATATAATTGATACCTGGCAATAGGTTTTGCTCCCAATCTTGACTATTTGAATATAGAAGGTGCATTTTGCATGACGTTTGTTTCCTGCTCTTTTCCCTTTAAAGATCACTGAATGGAAGTTAAGGTTCTGAACCCAGGTAGAGGAGACATGCTGAAAGATGACCAGTCTAGCCTTCCTCATACATCTTCACTCGCACACACATGCACACACACATTTATTGCAACCTGACGCTCATAGAACAGCCTTTTCCCCTCTAAGATTCTACAGAGAACAATTCAGATACCAAAGGAAAAATATATGCAGTGAGAAGAGATATAACTGCATATGCAGGCAGCAAAAAGGCAGGTGTGGTATGGGAATTCCTAGTGTTTGTGTCTGCTGCTGTGTTTGTTGTTAAAGGGACTGAGAGCTATTTTCCATGGGTCTAAATCTGTTTAGTGTAAATACAAGTGGAAACAGAAATCTATCAGATATTGTTTGGTCTATTTACTTGGATAGTTTTGCTTAATTTAAAAAAAAACAACTTTATGATGTCCTTCAGCTGCTCTCTACAAAGTATGTGTGTACGCATAAAGTATTTTGTTCCAGATGCATTCATGATTACTAACATAGCAGTAAATTCTTTGACTTTTTATTATCTAATGTGTTTTACATCTGAGAAAAAAATGTTTCTGTGCCTTCAGTATTTTAAATGTACAATAATGTTTCTACTGTAACTTTTCCTGAGGAGATTAAAGAAACTGGGGAAAGTACATTAGTAGTTAATTCAGACACATCTTCTAAAGATGTATGGTTAGAACTGTAGTGGAAACTGCATGTAATGTGAAGTCTCATTTTTTAAAAACCTTAACTTTTAAAATTAACTTTCTATTTTTGTATGCTTCAATAATACTGTAAATGAGCAGATGATGGGCCACACAGTAACTTTTAGGAAAGGTTAGTGTATTCATTAGGAGAATGTATGGAACCTAAAAGTTTATAAAATGGGATTTTGTAGCTGTTTCTGTAATAATTAAAAATATGTTTTATCATTTTTACTTGTGTCTGTTTTTATTACAGCATGAAAAAATACAAAACTGCTTATCATTGCTTATTCTCTTTATGGTCATCACTAAGGATGACATACTTACGTGTTGTTTTTAATAGGTTCAGATCATCTTTCTGATACTGGTTAAAAATAAGTAATGGTAATGCAGCTTGAAAATATCCCAAGAAAAAGGTTTGCAATCTTTAACACTGAGAAGGGAAAACCTTTTGAAACTACTTGTAGCTCTAACTTATGTGCTGTTTTGTTTCTTTAATGAATAAATTTCTACATTCAGGTGTAGTATTTCTTTAATCAAACTAACTTTTTATCAAATACAAAGATACACAATAATAATTTTACTCAAGATAAGGTAACTACTTTTATGTTGAGACCCTAATATTATAAACATCTTAGTGCAAAAATAATTGATTGATTAAATTATTATGTTCCCCCCAAGAGCCTATATTAAGATCCCATTATTTGGTATGTATCAGTAGAATGTTGTTAGTTTCTCTAGTTGATTAGCTTTTGATTAATGCTTAAATTTAATCTTAGACATATGTATGCTCTCTGATTTTTAGACAGATGTCAGTCAGCATTAGTTTAGCAATTTTTCATCAGAAAATAAAAAGCATGTTAAAAACCCTTCAACTAATATGGAAAATCTCCACAAGGTTATATCATTAAATGCTAATTATGTCCTTAAGATAAGTATTAACTGAGGGGAAAATATCAAACTGTTTATAAAGTATCTAAATCTAAATTAGATATAAAACTGCCTGAATGGTTTCCTGCTTTCTTAATTTGGTCTCCATAGATGTTTATGAAGTTCATTACATATGGTAAAACTATTAAAGATACATAATTGTTCTCCCAGTATAATAAATATAGTTTGAAAGTCAATGAAATTATCAGGAAACTATTGTTTTAAGTCCAAAGTAAGCAGTCAAATGTATATATGTACTATATGTAAGTCTATTTCTATATGTATTTTTCCATACTGTATTTTGCAATCATACACACACACACGTGTGCATGTGTACACGAGCGCACACATACAGGGGGGGGTGTAAACCATTTGAGAGAGAGGGAGAATAAATGCCTGTAAATAAAAATGGTATTGTCCTTTCAGAGAAACCCAGCTTGACAACCCTCCTGCCACTGAGTTTGAGAGTTAAAGAGATCATACAGTGCAGGTGGTTCTATTTAAAGGGTCCAATCTTCCTGCCACTGAAGTCACTTGTAGTTGGCAGTGTTTTTTAAAGGAAAGTTTTAGATATAACAACTCCGATTAAAATCTTTTGAGCCATGTTACTGGAATCCTAGTCCCACAAATCTGAATTTAGTAGCCAGACTACCTTTTGGGAATTTAGAGCTAAGTGATAAGCCAGATACATCAAGCAAAGAGAATTCTGAAAAAAACTACTAAAGTGATAACAAAGTTGTACAATATGCCAATATACCTTCACCACAGAAAATCACATCAAACATCTTAAAAAGAAGACAATTATCCATAAAGGGGAAAAAATGTTGAACCTTATTTGTAGACATTTACCTGCCCACTTGATTTTAGAATTTTTTTTGTTCTTCACCCCTTCAGTCTTTGAATCAGAATTCTAAGAGAATAGGACTTCTTTGTCTTACACAGATTTCAGTCATTGTAGATTTGGGTGAAGGGGTATTGTTCACATGAATGAAACAATCCTCACATAAGAAAAACACTGATCAGAATCGATAATAATTTACATAAACTATTTTAGTATGTATAAAACTCAAGCATTTTGTAAACAGTGAGAACACAACGGTCAAGTGCTTCTACCAAAACTTCTAACATTGAATATTATGTGGATATTGTTGCTTGGACTACATCTTACTGTGTAACCTTTTAAAAACACTAAAAGGAGCCTCAGATGCATTGTTAAATTATGGCCTTCTCCCCTTCAAAGAAAACATAATGATTTCTAGATCATTTCTAAATTTAAACAATCTGTCAGTTGTATAAATTATCTTAGGTGAACTGTGCTGTATCTTATTTAAACTGTACACAGTGTTATTGAAACAAATGTAGTTAACTAGTTAATTAGCTTTTGTGATAGTGCTCAGAAGGCTAAACAAAAATCAGTAGTTCAACATTATCCTATAGAAAAATAATGTTTTTAGTTTACAGTGCTTCCATTAAGATACTGACTATGCATGACTTAGGCATCTGTTTTGGAGGGGTGGGAAAGTAACCCTGACACACCCAAATTGTGATGTAATTACCTTAAAGTGGTTAGTTCATTGTAAGTGCAAGAATGAAGATATTTTCAGCCCTAACCCTCTATAAAAGTGTAGACTTCAGTTGGCGATGAAAAGATGGAGCTGGACCTAAGAAAATCTTTTTCCTTGCCTCCACAAAAGGCTTTGGGCCTAATTATTTTTAAGTATAATCCAGCCAACATCTTCTCATGCTTAGCTGCACTGAGTGACACTATTTGTGATGCCCAGTCTGCTGAAACTGAGCAGGTTGCTGTCAGTTTAAAAATGACTATAATAAAAGTGACCATGAAGATGGATCTTGTGATTTTGCGTTTCTAATCAGTCATCTGTGAAGAACACTTTTGCTTTGATTCAGCAGACTGGTGACAGCCATGATTGATAGTGCATAAGGATGAAAAAAGGTTATTAACTGTCTTCCTATTAAACTCAATGTATTACCCCTCTAGGTGCATCTCATACTTTAACTTAAAGTACTTACTCAGGTAAGGTCAAGAATGAACTCTATAAACACAGTATCCATCCTGTTGTAGATGAACAAGGGACTCTAATGCTAAATTAAAAAAAAAATTCAGCATTAAACCACATTTGAATGCCACGACCTTAATTACTTTGTCTAAAACAAAAATAATTATGTTTTATGCCTAAATATATAGATATATACATATGCTGTAGGACTGTGTAAGAAAGGAAGAAATGTACTGCATATACAGATAATACAGTATACATAGCATTAGTTGCAACAATTCCAGAATAAATTTAAACTAATGTTAGGTGAACTAAAGAAATTTGGGATTGGGATGCTATATATTACAGATTAACAGAAACATATATTTAGAAACATTTTACCCCATCCATGGAGTTAACTATGGAGGGAGGGAGATGTTTAATAATTTATGAATACACAGTTTCATATAAGTAAGTAACAGCCTTCCAATGCTTTACTAGTAATTTTGCCCATATTTTAGCTATATTTTTAATAAAATCTCCTCATGCTAATGAATATTGTGCCAATTGATCTTGACAGAGATTTAGTCTAAATATAAAAGGGGAAGTATCACACACACTACATATGCTTTTAAATGCTTGATCAACACATATATTGGTTCCAAAATGTTTCTAGTTTTCTAACAGTAATCCCTGGGAAATGACCATTGTAAAGAAGTTTTAATATAAAACAGTAAAACACGTTTCCTATATTCATTATTACAACTGATACCGGAAATCCACTGAAAGAGAAAAATGATCCATACTTTATTTGCATTTTATAACTATTTCAGATTTCTAGGGTTTTTTTCTGGGAGGAATTATTAACAAACATACCATGTGTTACTTTTTAAAATTAAAAATCTTACAAATAGAGCGCTTTCATAAAGAAAGGGGTTGGGTTTTTTAAAATTTTAAACATATTATGCATTTGAATGTATTTCAGACACTCCTTGAATTGGTTTGTGCTTCTAAACTTCTAATATAGGGTTCTCTCTTCAAACTGAATAAACCAAAAGATCAAAAAAACCAATAACTCCAACTGTAGTATATGCAATCTTATCTAAAGGAATGTGCATACTTGCTTAACATAAACTATTACCACATTGCACTATATGTAGAATACCTGTATTGTATACAAAATCCTCAAAAGACTTTGTACAATTTCACTCTCGCCTCTCCAAGCATTTCAAAAGAATTTTAAATTTGGCTTTATAGTATTTTCTTATTTCCTTTTTAAATGATGGCAATTGTATTGCTAACACTCATTTTAAAAGGGCACATATTATTGGGAAATACACGTGCTTATTCTAAAGCCAGAATGATTTTGCGGGGAAAAGTCCTTTATATATTTATCCTAGAACCTTGATTACGCCCTAATGCACTTTTGCATGCTAGAGTTTGCAACATAAGTATTCATTTAAATTTTTTCATGCTATTGGTATATTTCAGTAGCTTTCCTTTAAAAAACAGAAAGCATTAAGATGCTTACATAGGAGGTTAGAATGAATACAGAGGACAAATGTAGTCTACCTCATATGGTGCTGTTTTCTCACAAGAAATATTAAAACAAGCCTCTATACAGTCTTTATTTCTGTAAACTGTGTTACCCTCAGGTGTGGACTTGAGAATATGCACCAATTTTCCCTTCAGTAACATTTCTGCTGTGTAATAAATTGCAATCCTGTTTTAGCCCCACATGGATTTACAACTGGCAGGCTTTCTTTCTGACAATTTGGGGTCACAGTGGATATAGGTGAGCAATAATTTCTGGGGTGATGAGGATATTGATAGAATTTAGCAGCCTAAGTTCCTGGGCAAATATTTGTATAACACACACTTCTTGATTGGGCTTTTAGTTAATGAGACTTTCAGATTATATTGTTTACCTTTTTTATGGATTGTATTGAACCAGTTCAATATTGTATTTGAACCATTCCAAATATTAATTCCATTCATTCTTGTATCTATATTGTTAAATGTTTAAAGATAAAAAACCTATTATTCTTCCCTGAAATAGTTTTACAAATCTAACTCATCTAAGCAAAGCAGAAATTTACAGTTGTTGAAGGCTATGTTCAAAAACGACGTCGCATGTATCTAGTGTATCACAATTATATGAGATGAGTGACAAGATTCGAGTCTGTCTTTTGTTTCCAGGAGCCTTGTTTATGTCCAGAGTAGGTGAAGCCATTTTACAGGACCTTGCACCTGTAGCATACAGCCTAAGAGTAATGTGTGCTCCAGACAATGGGCCTGATCTAACTGGTGTTGAAGTCAATGGCTTCCACTGATTTCAGTGGGAATTGTTTGATCAAGTAGCGAATTCCAGAATTGGACTCACTGCATTTGCTTTACATGTAAAAAACTGTATGGAAATGGCAAAACTAAACGTAAGTCTGCCCATGGACAAATTAAATGCTTCTGCAGCACCTGGATGAAATGAATCGGTTTCATTTCTTCCTCTGACCCCTCACAAGGCATATATTCTGCATTGTCAAAAACAATCAGAACACCTAAGGCCTGGAGCATCCTCCCCAAAAGGAGATGCTTTACTCAAAACCTAGAAGAGGCCCAGAACATCAGTGGCACCGATGCCTTTTAAAACAGCTTGTATTCAGGAGCTGCTCCCCACTCTTCCATGCACTTGCAGAAATCAAGGTACGGTGTCAGACAAGGTACAAATTACCCATCCAGGGCCAAGCAAGGACCACGCACATATAAGCACATGCTACAGCTACCAGCATTTGAGTGAGGTTGTCCAGCCATCTAGACCTCACTCCCCACAACCAGGCTCTGCTGTGGGCAGAAAAACCCAGGTAGGCAAGTGAAGGATGCTAGCTGTCTTGTTTCTCCTTTGCACTCTCTTCTCTTGCTAGGAGAAGGGACATTGCTGCGGTGATGGGGGTGGGGGGGGGGAAGGCTAAAGAGAATGAATAACAGCAAAGCCTGCATCAGGCAACTCGGATCTGGGTCTGGATTGTGTTGCTGTTTGGTGTTGAGACCTCGCACCTGCTTGGGAAATATTCGAGCCCCAGACCCTTCTGCCCATTTTGGACACTGTCCCTCAGCAGCCTGGACCAGCCCCTGGGGAGGATGGGGCTTGCTGCGTCCTGGAGGAGGGGGGAGCAAGGTGGGCCCCGGGCAGCTGCACTTTCTTCCTCCAGTACCTGCGCGCAGCGGCCGCCGCCGCCCGTCCCCGCCTCCTGCGCGCCTTGCTGCTGTCAGGCTCGCCAGTGATTTGCTAGGCTTGCCGGGGTTGCCATAGTGTTGACTTCTTGGCTCTTACAAAACTGCCCAATGGCTGCAGGATTGGGATTAAAGCGGGAAGAAGCAGCAGCCGCCTCATCCTCGGCAGCGGGAGGGGGAGGATCAGCAGGAGTGCCGGCCCCGCGCGCACAGCCCGCGGTCTGGGCAGGGGGCGCAGGGGAGCGGGAGGGCACGGGGCTCCGCGCATCAGGGGCAGGAGGAGCGGGGCGACCCCGCAAACCCAGCAGAGCTGGGACGGGGAGCGTGTCTCGGCCATCTGCCGGATTTCACACTGCACGCACTAAAGAGGTGATTAACAAGGCGGGGCAAGGCAACTGGGACGCGATAAGGGAGACCTAGGTAATGACACATCATCCCAGCCATAAATTTGAAACCGAGTTACTTCACAGCGCAGGAGGAGCTGCACACTCGGCTCGTGTGTGCGGGGGGCATAGAGGAGCTGGGGCTGAGGGACAGGGCGAGAAACTTGCCAAGGAAAGAAATCTTTCTCTGGTAAGTGAGGAGGAGCAGGGGGCAGGTCTGATGCAGAACCCCCAAAGGAAATAGTAACATAGGAAATAAAAGGACACCCCCCCCCACACACACACACAGACACACACCCATCCACACACATACACACACACACGCTGCTGTTACACATGAGAAGGTAAATGGAGATTACCAGGGAACAACGGGAAAAGGACTGTGAACATCCCAGACTAAAAGCACCACAAGTTTAGGCAGTGTTTCAAATCCCCACAGTGAAGAAAGTGCCTTCTTGTTTGGGGGCACTCGTCTTCTCTGGCGCCTGTGCGAGAGGGGAAGGGAGATGGCTCAGTCTTAATATCCCCAGTCCAAACTGAGATGGAGAGAAAAGCAGCTAGGAAGAGGGGCTGGAGAGAAAAAAAAGGAGGGCGCAGAAACCTGGTAGAGGATGAGGAGGGTCGGAGAAGGGGAAAGGATCCAAGTGTAGGTGGGGAAACTAAGGGGACCCACTGCATAGACAGAAGGAAGCAGTCACAGCAGGGAGGGGGAGAGAGAGTAAAAGTGAGGCAGAACAAGGAAGAGAGATAAAGGAAAGAAAATAAAAGATTGGAGAAGGCGAGTGGTTGGATGCAGGGGGGACGATGAGACAGGGGATGAAGGAAAGAGCGGTAAAGTGGAAGGAGAGAGAGAGTGAAGGAGGGTCAGAGGGAGGGAAGTGGGGAGAGAAGGAAGGAGACAGAGGGAGGAGATAGGGAATGAAGTCCTCTAGGCTGGAGAAGGTGCAGCAGTGAGCAAGAGAGCGCTCACTCTGAGGGTTAGGTTAGATTTCCAGAGCTCTTAGAGCTCATCGACCAGCCCGCTGGAGTCACTATTCAACCCGAGTCCCAAACACACGCCTCACTAACTACTTTACAGCCACTTTCATTGATTTTCTTTATCAAATAAACATAATACCCGTTACAGCAACACTTCCTCTTCACGCAGCCAGAATGCCACAAGCTCTGATTGCTGCATTTCTCCGGATTGCAGTTTCCCCTTCTCAATATATTGTTTTCTTTCACTTAAAATGGTCAAAATATATACTATTGCTCGCGGATTTTTTCTGTAATCTGGGAAGAGCGCTATAGACTAGGTAAATCACTTGGATGGTAAGCTCAAGGTGACTCCCCTCCCCCCCCCCCCCAAAAAAAAACAGCTGGGCGTGCAAACACAAATTAATTCCCCCGATTTGCAGTAGTGGCTGGTCCATTTACATATTTAGTTTTCCTAATCAGTGGTATCACACTTTAAAGGACACGTTTGCAGGGGACGCTGTCGCTTGAATAATAGAGAAA